AGTTAAACAGGATTTTACATCCTTAGCATATAGTAGATCAACAAATCCCTAAGATCTAAGATTTATCAAAATTCACCTTGTCTAGATGGCTTTTCTTATTTCTAGTTAAGAGTGTGGGACAATAGCTCAACAACCTAAAGTTTATATATAAGTAGATATAGTACATATAAACATCAATGATTCTAAGGCTCTTTAAATGTAAAGTGGACTGTTTATCTGAAAGTTTCTGGCAAACCGCCACCATATTGCTAAAATTAAAGAAAGGATTGAAAACAATTAGCATCCTGAGGAACTGAAACCACAGCAATATGTTTCTGATTAATTTACAAATATATGTATATATTTAAGCTAAACTACAGAACCAGAAAATTCATACTAGATAGTCGATCACATGCATTTTTACACTTCATTAGAACAGACATCATACTGAAATAATAAACATAGAGGGGCCTTCATTTCTTCTTTGATCTATATTACTAAATGTCTGACTGCCTCAAATTTAAAATAAACTTTGGTATGTTTGCACTTGAAAACTGGAAGAAGACCACAAGAAATAATTTGTTGTCAGTTTCCATAGCCCCTAACTAAAATTATAGTTTAGTCTACATGCTGTTGGATGATATGCTATGCTAGTCCAGCCACCTCTGCAGTGACTAAACTTTCTGGTAAGAATACAGACACTGTAATATGGTAGCAATGATGATAGATCACTTCATCAGCCTGGAACCAGACTGAAATGTATTAAAGGCACAGGTCATAACTTTACATGTTTTCTGAATCATTCTGAAGCTATTGCAGATAAGTGACATTACAGCTTTAAACACGCAGGTATGCACAGGGGAATGGTATCATATAGCTCTTCTTTCCCTGCATATTTAAGGAGCACATTTTCAGAGTTCATAGCTAAAATCCTGTCAAATGCTTTGCAGATTGAGAGGTAAGATTTTTAACAAAGTATGTTCCATTTAATGTCCATTGCTTTAACCAGCTCTGGGTGCATTGGAAATATTTTTCATATACCTCTCTCTATAGATAAACATAGATAGAGATATAATATATTTATATATCTAATAGATTCATTTGGTCTGGATTGCATATTTGATTCCAGTAAATGAGACAATTATTAATTAAAGTGTCATTGGTATGTATGCCTGACACTGTTGTGTCTGTTTTGAGGTAGTTATATTGTGTATTTATTTAATGATTTCATGGATTATGACATTTCATATGGGATTGGTTTATTTGCCTCTCTAAACAGGCTAAATTCAGAGTAAGGAGCAAGAAACGGAACTCATGATCAGAAGCCAAAAGGTTCTCATTATTCACTATTTTTCTGTTCTGTTATTCACTATTCTAATTATTCACTATTATTCACATCATTATCTCCCACCCTCTTCGCAAGTTAATACTGAGCAGCCAACAGCCCTTTGGCTGAAGCAGACTGGGCAGGATTCCTTTTCTGAGCCCATTAATGCCGTTCCTTAATTAGCTGAGTAAAGCTGAATCCAGGCAAAATGAAGGTGAGGAGGGTAAGACGAGGTCAGTGCTGTGAAGAGCGTACCTCCTCTAAACATCCCTATCTATCAAGCATATATGCTATCACATTGTTACATTGTTCAGCTACCTCTTGGAATTTTCACTGTGACTGAATCTCCAGAAAGCCACGATGGCACAAAACATCCACATTTCATTCTTGATGGCCAGAAGCTTGCCTCCTCAGGTGCAGAACTGGCCACTGAACTACCTGCATTTGTACCTCTGGGTCTGACCATTCCAACTCAGGTACCAACGAATGCAATTATGTGTCCTGACAAAGCTCCAACTAGCACACAAGAGGTCACCTTGAGCGCCTCAAGCCTCATGCTCCCCTCTCTGAAGTCCTGCCCTGATGACTAGACAAACCAGTTCCAAATTTCTCTCCCGCTATTCAAAGCCCTTGATAAGACTGGCTTTAGCTACTTGGGTCAGTGTCCCTCACACACAGCCCTGCTTTTTTTACAACACCTCTCTTCCACCAAAACAGTGGCCTAGCAACTAGAGGCCCAGAAATGGGATTTGGGAAACCAGGACTTAGTCACTGGCCTGATGGGTGACTTTAGGCTCATCAGTTCACTGATCTGTGCCTCTGTTTTCCCGGCCCTAAAATGGGGATAATGATGTTTACCTCCATTGTAAAGCACTTTGAGACCTATTAATGAAAAGCCCTATACACAGGCTAGGTATTATTATCCAGTGGGAAGAGGAGTACAGGAGACAGCACTTTCATAGGAGCAGAACTAAGATTATATATAGATTTTACATCTCGATGAGAATGGCCACTGATCTCACAGCGTTTTGAACGAAATGCAAAGCTCATCCCTTTGATCTAGCTTTCCCACAATAAGTATTCCTCTCATTTTCTCTCATGCACAGACACCCACACAGACATCTTACTTCTAATCGAGCATTTGCTGCTACCTGCTGGGAAGGAAGAGAGATATATTATTATGTCTTTTTTAAT